GCATTTATCAGCGCGTAAAGGAATAAATTCGAAATGTAAGTTTAAGATAAATTAGATTAAGATTAATTATTTTAGAGGATTATTACTATGTCCAGTTGGGTATGTAATTTTGAAGGAGGTAATTTCTAAATTATCTTCTAGTGGTAACTAAGTTTGGCTGAGAAGAATTCTCAAAATTGAGACCTATAAATAAGAGGCTGGGAAGTGCTCCAGATAGTACTGGAGATACGCGAAATGTCGCGTAGAATGACAGAGAGAGTGAGGGTTGCTATGGTGATCTCAGTCCAGAGTCTGCTTCTGCGATCGAAGCGTACCCATGTATTCAACATATTCAAAGGGGGAAAAAGGAAGAAGGTTTAAATATTACATCTCTACTCAGATTTCATCAATCCCTGTTCCGTGAACTATTTAGTTCATTTGTTTTTACAGGTTACTAGTTTGGCATTTTAATCCAAAGCTTGTGTGGAATTTAGTCTAAATAATCAAAGCCTTCAGAATCAGCTTTTAGAGAGTTCAAAACTTCAAAGTATGAACATTTTAGTTTGATAAATACCGTCCAAAGTTTTATCTAACTTGAACTCGATCTATGATGCAACTTAAGAATTCCGCGGAAGACAGAAGGTCTTTCAATTGACTAGTTATTACACAATGATGTGATATTTCAGAGTGAGACACATGAAGAAGTGTGTAAAGTGTCTGCACATCACAGCATTTATAGGGCGAGTGATGTTAAAGTCGGGGAAATATCAAGGTAAACCAAGCTTAACAAGACCGACCATAGCTCGGAAGACTGTATAGTTGGGAAATTCTCAGATAACACTGTCTTGAAACTTGGCAGGCATGATCCCAGCCAAATGATACTAGGTATACAACCAAACTTTGAAGATAATGCATAGCTCCCAGAAAACATGACAGGCTACCCATATCTGATTTCCTGAGGCCCTAAACATGGTTAAGAGCTGAGTAACTGAGAGAAACATCCATGTTTTGCACTCTCAAGTCTTTGCTAATGACTCGGAATCTCTCTACTTTGTTTATCTGTACAATGAGTTTAGAATTTGCTCACTCAATATAGAAAAAATTTATATTTCATTTGATCCTAAATATAAAAACTAGTTAAAGAGTTTATTTTATCTTAAATGTAGGATCTCAGTCTTCTTCATCGCCCATATTTATCATTTAAATCATAATTCCATATATACTTTGACTCTTGTTTATTTGTTTTCGATGCCACTCTTGAAAGCAATGCTGATGATGCACCGCAGTAAGAGAAATGGTTTTTGAATTCCCACTCCCAGAATAAATGTTGGCGGCATATGCTGTATCAGTATACTCAATGCGTCAAGCTCTGTGGAATATGCTGAATGAGAATGATAGAAGATGCAATTTCTACTTTGTGGGGGCAAGTGAAGGTTCTTCATTGTCATTTTCCATTGTACTAAGTAGTTAATGACTTGATGCATGATGTGTTTGGGGGAAAAAGGGGGAATGACAGTTATGTCCAAAAGAATAATTTCATAGTAGCCCAGTATTTAAATAATTATTTGCAACTCACCCTATTTATGACTTTATATAGCGTAATTTACAATTATTCCCCCACAATTGGTAACTTTGATATTGTTTCTAAATTTAACTGTCATTAAATAGATATTTGAAATCTAAAAATATTTTTGAAAAAAGTGCCAAATTTAAGGTTTTTTTAATTGCAAATTTAACTTACGAATCACGTAAGTTAACTTACAAATATAAACGTTTGACTTATAATTACATAAATTGTTGAGTGTTACTTGTAAATATGCAACTTGATTTATAAACATGAATTTTCCGAAACATTTTTGTATTTACATTTTTTAATCAGGACTTATGGATAATTTTTCTTATGTAAAACAAATAAAAGTCACTTTTTCATTCCCCATTAGGGTTAGAAATAGGCTAGGCTTTAGTTAAATAGGCCTAGGCCCACATCAGAGATCTAAAGTCTGAGCCTGCTGAGCTATGTAAGTTTTTTTTTAAGTTCGAACCTGAGCCTTCAAAAGGCCTGAAAGCTTTTTTAAAAGCCTAGTTAAAATTTAGGTATTTAAATAGGCTTAAAAACACGTGTCTAAATTTATGTGTAACTCTTCAAACCTATTTTAAAGCCTACGTTATGTCTTAAAAGCTTAGGATCTATTCTTACATATAATATAAGATAATAAAAGTCTAGTAAGGAAAAAGAATGTTTAGTGACAACAATTGTTCCAATAAATATGAATAAAAAAAACCATTATATGTTGACTAAGGAGATATATTTTCTAAAATCAACCAAACCTAACAAGTGGCATGTAATTAAAACTAGATTTTACCTTTTGCTTTTCTGGCAGTATTATAATATTTCATTAAGGCATCTCTAAAACAAACTTATTACAATTATTATGCTTTAGTGAACAACGTAAGTCAGGGAAGAGGGAGTGAGCTAACATAGTCATCTTGAGTGATCAAAGAAAAGAAATGTAAAGGTGAAAGATTGATTGATGAAAGGGTTGCGTTTGTGTGTGAATGATGGGATGTGAGACTTAGGATTATGACTAAGTTAGTAATTTTATAAATAATTTATAAAATTAATCTAGATTATATTATATAATAGTGTAAATTTTTTTTTAAAAAAAAAAAGCTAAATAGACCAAGCCTGTAGATTTGTAGGCTAGGTCTTATAAAAATAGGCCTAGCCTATTTATTAAATAGATTAGGTTAGGTTTAAAAATAAACGTAAACTCCCGATAGGGCCTAACCTACTTCCACTCCTATTCCACACTCTCATACTTTGGAGGAGTTGCTTTCAAAGGAGAAGGGGCCATCAATGCCAGGAGGATGGGCCGTGTAAATAAAGTTGGCAAGTGTCTAATGATGTGTATAGATAAAATTCACAAATTGCTAATGATATCTGCCAATAACTGCATTCAAGTTTAGTTTTTCTCTTTTATTTTCTTTCCACCTTTTATTTTAACCACTCAATGAGAAGCTTTGTTCGAATTCTTTTACACAAATTAATCACTATAAAATTATGGATCGTGGTTGAGAATGATGTGAAGAGAATCCTTGATATAGCCAATTGAAATCCTTCACATCTTTGTATTGATTTTAGAATGAGCCAGACTCAGCTAAATTCAGGAGCCTTGGGAAAAAACTTGATTAAAAAGCTGCACAGAATTTCAAAGTTGAAAAAAAAGTATAAAAAAAAAAAACTGAACCTTTACCCTATCATCTCATAGGAAATACAAATGGCTAATGGTTGTTAAAAGCATACTACATAGATGAATAATAACAAGAGCAAAATAATCTGAACCCTTTTTTTAACCTTAACTACAAAACGTTTCATATATTCCAAAAGCCCTTGCTTTAGTCCTATTTTTCAATTGTTAATAATAATTTTAATGGACTTCAAAACAATATCTACTAAGTCCAATTATATTAAAGATAAAATTATTTCCAATTTACTCTCATACCAAATCCTTCCTCTCTCATTATCTGCCCATTTAACCTTTAAGATTTCAACAACATATTTTTTTAATTAAAGTAGAAGTTACTTACCCTCCTCGTAACCTTTCTAATGCTACCTCCGATCCTTAATTAACATCTTGTCTGACTTTTATTTTAGTCATAAATATAAAACTCCATTCACACTGTCTTAATATTATGCATTTTATTCCAAGATAGTCTTTTTAATAATGGTAGTTCTAATTAACACACTTGATAGCAAGGATATTTTAGAAAGACAACACCTATTTATTACAAATAACTAACTTAGCTTATCTTCCTTTTATCTCATAATTAGTCACTACTCTTATTATTATAGTTTAGTATCTTATTACTTACTTTTAATCTTCTTCATATTATCTATTATATATGATTTATTCAATATCTATATATTATATATAATATTATTTATATATTAACAATACCTATATATATATATAAAATATAAAATTATTCTTCGATTTCTAATATATATAAATATAATATCACTGAACTTAGGATCTCTAAACACTTCTCTGTTTTTTTTTGCCACTATATATGAATGAGCTATGATCATATTCATATCCTCTAGATACGTTATCGGGGGGGAATAAAAGCCCGATACTGACACGGGATTGGCTAATGGTATGATCCTGCAACTTGAAGCTGCCCCTCTTGTTTTCGCCGCTGCCGATCTCTTCAAACTCGCACAGACGGAGGCGAATCGCAATGCCATGGCCGAGGAGGATTCTCCACCGACCACCACTCCTCCACGTCGAGTCTCTCCCACTCGTCGACCTCCGCTTCCTCTCCCAATCTGACTCTACTCCTCTCCCTTTGCTCCTCTTCCCGCATTCTTCGCCGTCTTGACGACGACGCGATAATCCCCAAAATTGACCGCTCCGTTTTCAACGAATCCGCCGGCAGCCGAAAGCAGACCTTCTCTCGCCTCCGCCTCGCTCCTCGTAACAACCAAATCTCTTCTGTTTCCGCCGTCCCCATTCAAATTGCCCGCCAAAATTCCGAGCCCATCGATGAAGACAGCACCCAGCAAATCATTGGCCTACTTCAACAACTCTTCGGCGTCGAGTCTTATGGTGACGTCAAGCATGGTGATAATAACCTTGTTCCGGTCCAGGTTCAGTTTCAGGACCCTTTACCAGAATCCGCGACCGTTGCCTTTCAGAGTATTCCAATTGACATCGTTGATGTCAGTCAGACCAAGCGGAAGCGTGGGCGGCCGCGGAAGAATGAAAACGCGGGAATACCCTTGGAAGATAAATTAAGAAAGGAGGGCGGTGAGGTGAGACGGTGGCCAATAGCAACGGTGTTCTTGTGGACGGGGTTGCTTCGGTTAATGTGGAGGATCCGTTTGGAGTGGAGTTAAAAGGAGGACCCAAGGCCTAGAGACCGAGTCCTCGACCGTCGCCTTGCAAAAATATTCCAACTGACGTCGTTGCTGGTGGTCAGAGAAAGCGGAAACGTGGGCGGCCGCGGAAGAAGAGAATGCACGAATCCATATGGAAGAGAAACCAAAAGAGGATTCTGGGGAGGCGATAATAATAGTTAACAACAATGATGTTCTTGTTAACGCAGCTGCTTTGGTGAACGATCCATTTGAGGAGGAGTTGCAGAGGAGGACTCAAGGGTTGCAGACTGAGTCCCAGTTGTTGGAATTCATGGGAAGTTTAGATGGAGAATGGGCAAGCCAAAGGAAGAGAAGGAGGATCGTGCCGGCTGGCTATTTTGGCGACTTTTTGCCCAGAGGATGGAAGATCATGCTTTCTCTCAAGAGAAGAGCAGGTCACGTGTGGATAATCTGTCGCCGTTACATAAGGTTTTCAATTTTCTCTATTTTAATATAATATCTTTTAAGTGAACGCCTTTGCTTTCTCTCTTTTCTGGTTTTGTTTTCCTGATACACAAGTTACAAGAGTTGAAAATTGATACCCTTAGTTTGTACCATTGCATTGAGCTTGCAGTCATGTATAGAGTTGATTATTATGGAACATCGTGTGCCTTGTCGGTCATGTACATGCTTAGCGTCATTTTACTCCTGTTATAGCTCTTGGTGCGTTTCGTTATCTTAATTTGGCTTCATCTATTACTTCTACTATTCATTTGGGTGCACGAAACAGAGCAGAATGGCAAGGACTATGGTAGTCATTGATGAATGGGATCTTTTGGAAATAGTACTGGTGAGCGTTCCGTCGTTTGACTAGCCCGCACTGGGCCTTGACGTTGTTTGGCCCTTTTGAGGGAGAAGGGAAAGATTGTTTCATAAAGGAATATAGGAGCGGTTTTTTTTAATAATTTTTTTTTTTAAAAAAAAGAATGGATGTTTAATTAATGTTGAGAAGGGAAGGGATCCCCATATTATGATGTTTAAAATATGAGTATATGTATGAAGAAGAAGGATAAAAAGAGAAGGAAACAGGCAAGAAAATAATTAAGCATGGGTTGAAATTTTTTGCTCTTCTACAATTTATGAGTTGCACTAAACCAACCGTTTCATTTAGAAAGTGAGACTTTGATAGATTTTGAAATGAATGAATTCAAAAATTTTGAAATTTAATGAGACTCGTTACGCTAATTGAAGGCATACAATTTTAGATGGGAATTGGAATAGGAAAAATGATTGGGACCAAGAATAGGAACGGGCTTTCAAAAATTATGTTTGGCATGCAAAGGAAAGTGAATGGAATAATTGTAAGAACTTTGTTTGTTCTCTGTGTGTGTTGTGTGTGTGTGTGTGTTTTTTTTTTTTTAATGTATGGAAAATAATTATAAAACAGGAAGACTATAACACCCTCATTTTTTTGAGCATCTCTCTCCTCCATCTTAACTTCTTCCTTCCTAGCCTAGACAGCCATCTAGAAACCTCGATTCTTAAAATTAATCATTCATTGCTAGAAACATGATCATTCTAGAATTCATGGTTATGAAATTTTAAAAATAAATCATTCTTCAATTCTTCTTGTCATCACTTTCACCATTCCCTAATCTATACCACGTTTTTCGTGATAAGCTAAGTCTATTGGCAGCTCAGCTAATTGTAGCCTTTGAAGATTCATTTCTCATGGGTATACGCCCCCACCCCCCCCCCAAAAAAAAAGAAGCTCTGGTGAATATTCTCGTAGCAAGTTTCCAAAGGATTCATTTCTCAACTTGGGGAAGTCACGTTTTGATGTCTTATCCTCATTTATGCAGCTGTTCTTCTGTACATCATCAGCCTATTTAAGACTTTTAATTTCTTTAGAATTAGAAAGTTTACAGCTGTTGTCTCTCCTCGGTTCACTACATTCATCTGTTAGTTCAATTCAACTGCTATGGACGGAAGGATTTATCTCTACTGCTGTGTGGCATTTCAGTTTTTGGGATAGAAATATCAGTACTTTATTATTTATTTTGTGGTTATTTTTATGATATTCTTATACATCTTAATTTGGTACCCTTCAGCCCTGATGGGCGACAGTTTGTGTCATGCAAGGAAGTTTCTTCGTACTTGCTTTCTTGTTTTGGACTTCAAGAGATAAGCAATTTAGATTCTAGTCATACCGATGGAAGCCTGCAGTTTCTGGGTAAAATGGCGCCTGAAAATGTAAGTAAATATTTTATGGTATTATATGCTTCTTCATTTGATAATATGAAGATAAACAAAGGAATTATTTATTTATTTTTCATCTTGCAGGGTGTTGGTTTGCTCCCTACGAGTGACATGAAGGCCTTGAATATTTCAAGTAATTTGCTTATCCCTAGCGCATCTGCACCCGTTGATCATGCAAATCAGGCCACCCTATCATCATCAATTGGAAGTGGTGAGAAAAAAAATTCTGATGAGAATGTCAATCAAGATCTGGTTTCAGGTACTAAACCAGGAGGAGATAGTGCAGCTTGTGGCAGAATGTTTACTGGCTTCAACCATCACGGAAGTTTGTTTATTGATGAGCGACCTTTGAAGGCTAATCAGAATGATAAAAATGCAGTTCAGGGATGTTCTCCTGTGGATGGTAAAGTCGGTAATGAAGCTAATGAGAAATTGGATGAGGTTCATGATGTTGCTTCCAGACCTGATGCTCATTTGGACGCCAGAAATTTCTCCAATAATGAGAGTAATGGTAATTGTGAATTCATTGATGAAATAAATGCTGTCAAATGCATGAAAAGTGGAAGTGGTAATTTTGTTAATCAAGATGGAAATACCAGATGCCCTGAAACTATTTCTTGTGGAAATGCGCAACCATTTGTTTTCAAAAGCAGTGGATATGAGCTTCCTGTAAGATTGGTGGAGGATTTTGGGGAGCAGATAGATTTTGGAAGTGGCAAGCTTCCTCCAAATTTTGAAGAGAAAAGACGTGCTGCTGATGGATTGGAAGATGTGAATATTAAACATGGAAATCTATTTGAGAATGACAGGTGGCTCACCAACTCAGGCAACTGTCACTTGGAAACTGAAGATGTTTTGAACAGTTTTAAACTTGCTGGTAGTTCAGAAGGCTTTTCGGCTGCCCATTCCCGTATTGAGCTAAAAGATGTTTCTGTTAATAGCGTGAAAAGGATAGGTGGACTAGATATTGATCCTAATGTCAAGGTGATTAAGGATTTTAATGATGATCATACTCCTCATAATGAGGGTGTTGTGACAAGCTTTGCACTGGAAACGAGTTCCTCGAAGGAGCAAGGTTTTGGTTGCAAAATTGACAGTTTATTTGCCAGAAGCATTGAACAAAATTTAGTTATGCCAGCTGGTGATGAACCCCCTTCTGCTTTTGATAATAATTCAAATATTGCCTTCTCTGGCACCTTAGATACACTTAAAACTGTTGAAGCGGCCTGCAAGAACCCTCCATTAGACCTTGTGTGCTGCAATAATGATGCCGCAGCAGATGCATATAGTACCACAAGCATGATAATGGGAAGGTCTGGTGGCCGTGTATCTAGTCCTTTGAGTAGCAGTATTCAAAATAAATTTGAGGGGCAAGGTCATGATGGAGTGGATAATGCTGATAAATTTTGCTTAACAAAGGTGGCTAAGGGTGACCAAGTTGAAGTATGTGAGAACGATGAGGCATTACTAGCATTTGGCCGCAACCAGATTGAGTCAGGTGTTGATATGACAAGCAGTGGGTGGAAGAATGTTTAAACAAGCGATGGATAGTAGTTTTGCAGAATGAACTGGTTTCCACAATCCTCTGCTTGTATATTCTCAAGTCACTAACAAGGATAGTATCCTGGAAAAGGTAATCTTTCTATCTTAATTTACAGTAAGATTGCCTGGATAACTGCTGGAAATTGTTTGATGCACAAGAGCTGGTGGTTTTCCAGGAATTCTTTTTTTTTTTTTTTTCACGCATCTGTTGGGATTGATTATAAAATCTACGAAGATTGATTTTTTCTTCTTCCACGATTTAGTGATTTTTATCTCAAAATTTGCTGCCACAAAACCTGATAATAAAATGGTTACTATATCATGATCATCATTATTATGATTTGGGGATCAGCCCTGTGGAAGTGCTGCCATTAAATGGGGGAATGATTAATGTTTACAGTAGGCTTTGACCTACAAATCCCGTGGTACTTTCTCCCCTCTAAGGACATGGATGGCTTTGTAGATGATGAAAGTGCATTTAATAAAGAAAGAAAGAAAAAGAAAGCAAATAATCGAATAATGATATTTGGAGAAATGATTTGCAAGTGCTTATGAATATTGTTTAAGCATGCTATTAGTGGTTCGATATTACAATACTGTCATTTTATTTACTTCTTGCATTTCTAATTCTAGTTGGAATGTAAATCGTTTCAGTAAGTAGATGCTCAGGTACTGAGCCAATATTATGAATATGGGGAAAATAGTAATACCTAAGACACGATTCCTGTCGCGATTGTGTGGTCATTGGAGGTAGTTGTAAAATGTTCTTAATAAAGTAGTGCTAGGTTGGAAATCAGGTACTAGGTGGCACTATGCAACTAGTTTGCTTGGAGAGTGAGAAACTTGGGAAATCGGTTTGGTGAGGGGGTTGGACCACGTGAATGACTCATGCAATGATGCTAATAGGAGTCTTGTCTTCATTGTATGGCTGTTGAGCATGTTTGAAATTGCATCAAGTTTCTCTCCTCTTTGCCATTTGTGTGCACTTTTGCCATCTTTGGTATCAAAGAACGTCTCGTGCACCAGCACTGGTGCTTTCCTCCTACTATGACCAAAAACGCTTGCTCTCAGGACTGCATTTGTGATGTTGAACTCGGTCTTGAAATGAGCCAAGTTGAGATGAATGACCTCGAGCGATTGGGTATTGCACAGGGAGGCTCTTCTAGCTGATATGGCGACGGAACTTGTACAACCAGCGTGACAGCCCATCATGACCTGAATGCTGTAGATTCCAGCACAAACGGAGACTGACCACCGCTATTTATCTGCAAATTGGTTCGTATACCAGTGACCAATGCAACATCGTTTCCCTACAAAGCTCTTTGGGCTTGAATTTTTGAAATCCGATGGTACTGACTTACGTTACGTTCTTCAGTTCTGAGCATTTCTTTTGATGACTTGTGAGACATCTTATTTCATGTACGTTTAGTGATGTCCATCTCGAAGGGAGTGCTCTTCCCAGGTACCAAGTTTTCCCTCCTGAAAGAAATGGGATGTGGCAAAAGGTCATTCGTGATGGCTATTTGAGAAACATGAATGCGTATGCTTTGGCGAGGCGTTAATAGTTGATGCTCTGTCTGAGCAGCAAAATTTTGAAGCAAGGAATGGTTACTCAATGGTAGGAAAGGTAATGAGCATCTTCTTGTTGGCCTCCAAAAAAAAAAAAAA